ATCAAAATTTCTTGAAAAAAAAGTTAAAAAATCTGATACTGAATCTAAACAGATACTCAGAATTCTTCTAAGACTATAAATTAAAATACATATATATCAACTACAAAGTGAACTGACTCGTTTATGTGTATTATCTAAATGACTCTTACCTTTCTCAAACAATATATCAAAAATTGTTTATTACACACAAAAAAAACACTTGATTTTTTCTTATCAAGTTTAGTTATTATGCTGCTAGTTATGTCTAATATTTTATACTGAGCTTATTTTGAGTTTATTTTTTATTATGAGCTAAATTTAAAGAATATATAAACATAGTTGTACTTAATATATAATTATATTTAACATAATCATAATAATATATCAAACACATTGTAAGGGCTTCGTGATAAGATCATTACGATCTTCTTGAAGTCCGGCCTGTACTATTTAATTATAAATTTCACTATATATTTTGACTCACGAGACTAGTAAATATTACTTTTAATTTACGAAACTTGTAAATGTTATATGTACGGCAAATATATTAATAAAAAAAAAAAAAAAAAAAAAAAAAAAGATTATAATTTTGAGCAAATGTTTTATTAGATTTTTGTGCATTTGGTATTGGTACTCTTGGCACAGTAAATAAACTATTTTCAACATAAATTTAAAATTTTAACTTTTATTGTTTAAAAAGGTAGATGCTATCAAAAACCTAATCCTACGTTTGAAGTTTTGTGTAAATTAAAGACCGGAATATTGCAAAATAAGTGTTTGCATTGATTTTTAAAACTTTTTAACAAAAACAATTTTTTTAACTTATTGCCTGCCCAAACCGAAACCCTTAGTTGATGTATGTACACACCCTGCATGCTCTAGCTATTTAGTCAGTCGATGTATGAACACTCCCTACATGTTTTACCTATTTAAGTCTGTTGATGTATGTAATTTCCTACATGTTTCAGGGCCGACGACACCGGGGGGCCCGCGTGTCGTTGTGCTCCCCACTTTTTTCAGAACGACATTTTTTTTTATAAGAAAATTTTAGATATAGAAGACTTTTTTTAAGAATTAACTATTGCGCCCTCCCTCACCCCCCCCCCTTACTTACAAACCCGTGTCGTCGCCCCTGTGTACACAGGGGCATATCGTCGCCCCTGTGTACAAATGACAGGGGCACACTGACTAAATAGGTTAAACACGTGTTCAACCTATTTAGTCAGTTGATGTATGTACGCTACCTGCCTGTTCTACATGTTCAAGTCAGTGTATGTGAGCACACTTCCTAGTTTTTATAATAAATAAAATTTTATAAACAATATAAATTTTTATAAATTTTACAATATAACAACAATCATAGACATTACGCATAAAACTTGAACTAAATACTTTAAAATATAACATATAAGTATACAGTATAATTGTGGCGGGATAGCTCAGATGGTTAGAGCGTTAAAGGAAAAGTTAAAACCCGGATTGTTTAAACCCCGCCACCGCCAACTCAGCGCTTGAGTAGTACTTCGGTACGCAAAAATGTTGGTCAATTACAGACGCTACTTTGGATTAGTCTTAATGACTATTTGTGGCTGTTCCTATACAATATCCTATACAATATGTTCCTATACAATATGTTCCTATACAATATGTTCCTATACAATATCTTCGGATATAAGAACATTGTATAGAAAAATATAGCATAAAAACTCAAATAAATAAATAAAATAATAAAAAAAAAATACACAGAGACATGAGCGTTCAGGAGGAATCGATCCCACGTCACCGGGTGATGAGGTAAAATCGCAAAATACAAGACTATGCTTGCCCATCTAAATAAGTGTACTGTAATTATGAACTTCGTTTTCTACGCTACGCAATTATTAAAAACAATGATTTATTATTCGGTCATTAATTTACACAAAACTTCAAACATCGGAATAGGTTTTTGATTCTACTATTTAAAAAGGATAAAATCTTGGGAAAACAGCCCGATTGGCTATTATTATGACTATAATTCTATTAAGGTAATTAAGGTAAAAAACCCGTAAAACATCAAATAACAAATACTTTCCAACAATAGCTAATAATACTAAGCTATTATAATAGCTAATATAAGCTACCAAATGGAGTTGAATCAACTCAATTGACCTAAAATAAATTCAAATAACACAAGCAATCCTTACCATTCTTTATAATTTATTTACAAGAAAATAAAGTTTTTTCATTTGTTTACAAACACCCACATTATGTAAAACTGAAGCGATAAAAAACAAAGCTTTTAAACAGTGCTATTCACCATGCATTAGGCAATATCAATAAGTTGTATTTTTTGTGTAAAAAATGTTGCTTAAATTATAATTGACATCATGCAATTTGCATGTCATCATTGCAATTTTGCATTGCAAAATCTATATAAAAAGCATGTTTATATGCTAGTTAAATAGCTATGGTAGCAGTTTGTAATTTACTACACCAAGCATATGTTTTTATAATATAGCAAAATTTTGGTTCAAGTTTGTTTTGATATTGCTTTCTCCAACATTTTTTGTAAAGGTAGAGATATTTTATTTCTTTGATTATTTTCATCATCATCAACATTCAATAATATATTTGTATGTCAATTTGAAACGTTCGCTAAAGTTGGTGTTGTTGGTACATAATGCATGTTGGCCACACCTAGATGTTAATGTTAAAACAACAACTTTTCCGATTGCATTTAGTAATGATTGGAAATAATTCATAGTTTTTATTGGCTTTGTTATCGCCAGGGTTTTAATTGCTTTTATTTACATGATTTTCATCATGTATATATTCAAACACCTAATATTTCTGTTTGTCTTTCAAGAATACGTACTTTTAAAGCTGCTTTTGATTCATAACTTAACAAACATGGGTGATCAGTTATTGATTTTATCAAAAATCGAATAGCATCATTTGTAGATAACAGTTACATCCTTTTGGCAGATTTCTTCAGTTGTAAACCTAATGGGAAGGAAAAAAAATTGAAAGGATATCTGACAACGCTTCAAACTTGGTATCCGAAAGCATAATAAGTGATTTTAAGTCTATTAGACTTAAAATCCTTTTGATGTAATATTTCAATTTGACAAAACGTTTTATCATAGACACCAAAGTATTCCATTGTATTCTCGAGTCTAAAACTAGAGACAATTCTTTCCTGAACTCTACTTTTTTATATTTTTGTAGTATTTTGTCATTTTTTGTAGGTGAAGTTCTAAATATTTTGATTACTTTACAAACTTTTTTGATTGATGGTAACATTTGCTGATGTACCAGAAAAAAAGAATTATAATTTTCAGTGGAGATTATGAGTATTCCATTTTTATTTTTGTAATCTTCACCAAATAATTTGTCATTATCTGTGGAATTCTGCTCTTTTTCAAATCTGGGTGTGGAAACAGAATTGATGTCGGTATCCTCTTTATTATGTAGACTAGCCTCGTTAATAGGTTTTTTGTAAAGTGCGCTGATAACAGCCAACTGAGTTCCATGCACTAAATGTAGCTGCTAATGTGCTGTGGTAAGATGCATCGCCGTCAGTGGTGATACCTACAATATCCTTTACCTAACCTATCATTCACAAGCTCAACATATTTTTCTGCTAGAATTGTTCCAAAAGCATGAATCAATTCTAGATTCCAAATTCTTTGTCAGAGTGGACATTAATTTTTATGTAACATCTATTTCTTACCAATGTCCATTCGACAAAAGTAATTCAAGGCCATTTTTTGAATAGTTTTGTGATCCTTTGGTATGTTAGAAAAACCTCTGACTTTTGAGCCTTTTCTGATTTCATATGACGTGCAGATTATGTTGAACAACAAACCATCACATGCAGTCATCCTAGCTAAAATAGCTGGCAATGAGTCATCCATTTTATCACTTTAAAAAGGTGTTTATAGTTACAAATAGTTTTGATCTCTTTACAGATTCTGAAGAAACTAAAAAAGTGGATTGCTAATGAAAACAGATTTTCTCTTACTTTCAATTTTATTGAGATTGAGATAAATTTTAATTACACTCATGAAAGATTGAGATAAATTTTAATTACACTCATGAAAATATAATTTTATTGAGATATAAACTTTAATTATACGCATGAAAAATTAGATATAGCTGGCATAACTATAGATCACATAATGTGTTCTATTTAGTTATGCCACTTAATGTGGTATAATCTTCCTGAAAAAAAGTTGTCCCACATGACCATAGTGTTAATAAGTGAAATAAAAGTGTCTAACTCTGAAAAATACAGGAATAAAACTTTAATATGTAAAATGCTAGATAAAGAGGTTTAAGAGGTCATCAATTTTAATCAGAATATATAAAATATACAAAGTTAATCAGAATATATAAAATATACAGTGTATAGAACAAATACAGATCAAATAATTTATGAATTTTATAAAATGTTTTATTATGTATGTATCTATTTGTGAATGAAGTCATTTAAAAAATCAAAAAGTATTATATTTTGCTCTTGAAATTTTTAAACTGTTATGTAGTTATGCATCTACACTCCTGTAAGATTAAGTATTAATATGAGTCTAATGACTTAATTATATATGTTTTTTCCACATGTAGCTCATGTTTTACTATCCTGTAAGAATATAGTGCAGCATTTGTTTTTATTTAGTGTAGTTTTCAGTTGTATAAGCATTATAGCCACACAAAGACCATACACATTCCATCCTATAACGCAGAGTGGTAGGCATATAGCTTGCATATTCTTTCAAGATGTGACTAACCTGAAACTTATGACATACGATAATACATACAAATCTATTGTTGCATTGGTTCTGATTAAGTGTGATTTTAATGCTTCAAGTATTATAGCCACTCATAACTCGCACATATATCATCAATGTGCTCTCAAATATACCTGACAAAAAACTCTATTAGAGTTTCTTGTCAGGTATATTTACATGTATGTATGTTGGTAGGTAGGTATATTTGTATGTATGTATGTTAATATAGTTGGAAAATAATTTATTTTTTAGATTCTTGTTTTAATTACAAAACAATTGATGATTTTCAAAGAAGTACTGCTTTTAAAATAGCTCCTTATGATCCTTCAGCATGTGATAGACCATTTAGTGCTGATTGGTATCGTTTTACAAGTGGTGCTGGGGGTAAAATACCAACTATAAACCCACCTCCATACTCATGTGGTAATAAATTTATTAACTTTTATACATTAAACTAAACTATATACTAAATAGTTAATTTATTTTGTTAAATTAAACTAATATTTTAATATTATGGACAGTAAATTTGCTATTAATTAATTTTTGAATAATTTTTTCAACCAGTATATATGATTTGTTGCTTTAATTTTACACCAGCATATTAGATTTCTTGATTGATTTTCAAATCAGTATATTTGATTGGTTAAATAATTTTAAACCATATATTAATTTAGTTAATTAATTTTCAAAACAGTATATTAGATTAAATGAATATTATTATTGATTGTATTAGATTATATATTTATATTAGGTTATATTAGATTTATTAAATAATAAATTAATGATTAAGTAAGTTTGTTAATTTACTTTTCATTATAATATTATTAACTTTTCTATATTAGTTTACTTGTTCTATATTATTTACTTATTCTATATATGTTTGACTATTTTAATTAGTACCATTTTTTATTTAAAGTTTACTGTAAAAAGGTAAAATTTATAGAATACAAGCGCTAGTAAACTATAGTATCTGTGTAGCAATAACTAATAATAAAGTTAATCTAATCATTAATTCATTAAAAATTTGTTACATTAGTTTTCAAACTAGAACTTTTTCTATTTTAGTTTACTCATTCTGTATTTATTTTCAAATTTATTCTATATTAGTTTAACAAGTACCATTTTTTATATAAAGTTTATTGTAACTTAAAAAAGGTAAACTTTTCAAAGTACAAATGCTAATAAACTATAGTAAACGTGTAGTAAAATCAAGTAATTAAAAGCCTTTTGATAACCCTATAGGTAATCTAATTATCAAATCTAAACTCACTAATAAAATAAAATCAAACATAAAGTTTACACACACATATAAAATTAACAAACATTACTGTCAATTATTAAGTGAATAGTTGAACTTTGGTTTTGCGCTTGCAAATCAAACAAATTTGCAATGCTTCTTGATTTTTTCTTAGGAGTTAAATATCCTGTTTGGTTAAATGGTGAAGAGCCATCTGCAGTTGGAGAAATAAAATCAATTCAGGCTTGTGTGGTAGTTGATGAAAATCCATGTGCTAAGAAAATTAATGTCAAGGTTAAAAAATGTTTGCAGATCAATGAAGAATATTTTGTTTACTATTTAAAGGCTCTACCGGGTTGTCCAATGAGATACTGTGCTGGTAAAAAAAATGATGATTTTAATGTTTATAATAAATTATGAAATTATTTATCAAATAATTTTATGTATATTTAGTTATGCTGTAAATTTTAGGCACTAAAAAAAAGTGTGGTCCTGAAGAAAGTTCTGCGACTGGTTTTGAGCCGTGCTCAAGTAAATTTTCTTTTTTAACATATCATTCATTTTTAAAAAAGTTAGTTTTTATTAATTCTATTAAATTTAATGGTACATGAATTTATTCATTAGCATTTTTAATTTTTATATTCGTTTTTATATTTCTACTAAATAGAATTTTTTAAATTATTATTTAGGTTTTATTTTTGTATTTAATTATTTTTTATTATTCTTTTAAATAAGTATTATTTATTTTTTATATCTTAATTAGTTTTTATTATATTTTTATTTCTTGTTTGTTATTATTTAAAATATTAACTTATTATTAGGTAGTTTTCCTAAGATAGATAAAGATCCAGTTGTCACTGTTGGTGTAAAAGATAAGCGTGTTAGTTTTTCTTGCAAGTTTAACACAGTAAAAGAAAGTAATGCACGATATGAAGTGACTTGGTTTCAAGGTCCAGTAGAAAAGCAAATAAAAGGTCCTGAAATTTTTACAAATGAACAAAACGAGGCTTTTCTTCAAAATACAAACAAGTATGGTGAAAATGAAACATTTTGTCTTGGTTATAATGTAAGTTTTATGTATAGTGTGATTTTTGGGTTTTAAATACCAAAATTTATACTTATATATTTATAGATGTTACCAAAAAATTAGATTGATTTTTTTGCTATTTATCTGCAAAGTAACAACAATTAAATAAAAAATAAACAGTTAAGACTTCCATTGCAATATTTTTTTTTCATAACAAAATTTTTTTTTTGAGGTTTTATTATAGTTTAAGGGTCATTCTATGCCAATAGGATCAAAATTTTAAGATTTTGACATTACCCATTTCAGATTTTGATGAAACCTGATAGGTTTTTTATATTAATAAGACTAAAAAATACCTGAAATTTTTAGCTAATAATCTTTTATGGTTCATGAGATTTGGTCAATTGAAATCTGATTTTTTTGTAAAATTAAAACTTCAGTGGCCAAAACAAAGTTGTTTTTTTACTTTAAAACTCTGTATTTAAAAAAAAAAAGTTCAGAAAACCTTCTAGTTTTTTTAATTATATATCTTATTTGAAAAATAAAATTGCAGTTTTTTACTAAATACAACTTTTGTCATACTTTAGCAAATTTAGCGAAATTTAACAATTTTTTTTGTCACAGAACCTAAAAGACAAAAAATTGTTTTGGAAATAAAAAACGTTGAATTTTGATGGATCAATATACAAAATTAGAAATTTAATAAAAAAGATATTTTTTAGAAGTGTGCTGATTAGGGAATGTCACAACAATGATACTTGCACAAAATGCATTAAAAATAGTAAAAATGGAGTTATTAATGTACTTTAGCTATATATATATATATATATATATATATATATATATATATATATATATATATATATATATATATATATATATATATATATATATATATATATATATATATATATATATATATATATATATATATATTATATATATTATATATATTACAATATATATAATGTTTATTTGATATATTTTATATACATTATATATTATATTCATTTTATCCAGTGCTTACAAGAACGTCTTGAATATTATTTATTATTATTACTTGTTTTAACTGATTATTATAAAGCTTTTTACCTTTGCAAAGTTATGACTTCCTTCGCAAAGCTAATTCTTTTTTTAAGAGAGTTTATATCATTCTATAAGAAACTAAAAAAGTTAGCTGCCATATTTTGAAATAATGTAGTTTTAAAAAGCTCATTTTATAAAAAAATTTTGAATGTAAAAGCTAATATGACGTAAATTACTTTTAATTTTTATGTTTTGAGATTTTTTTCTAAACAAAACTTCTTAATGTGAATATATATATATATATATATATATATATATATATATATATATATATATATATATATATATATATATATATATATATATATATATATATATATATATATATATATATATATATATATATATATATATATATATATATATGCATGCAAAAGTTTATATAATTTTTCTTTTACTTAAGTATAAAATATATGTAAAGTTTACTAAACATCAACTTTATTTAGTTATTGAGAACAGAATTTAGATTGATAGAAATGAATTACTTCAAAATTTACTTTTTGGTTACATTATTTTACAAAAAAAAAAAAATTCTCTCACCAACCTGGCCTCACAACCATATTTGACCCTTTTTGAAAGATTTATAGTCTTCTTTCTTTGTCTACCTTTTTTACATCATAGAGAAAATTTTCAGCAATTTTGAATGAACATTTAAAAAAAAAATCATTTTGGCCTAATTTTAAGTTATTCCTGATCACTGTGCACCTGCATGATAATTTTTAAAAATTAAATTACACCACCTAAATGTATTAGGCTTCTGCCTTATGCAGGTTCGAGCTTAGTATTTAAAAGAGGGACAAAAAAGGGTTTAACTATGGTTCCAACTAACTCATGAGTCAAAGATTTGCTAATTATAATTACAAGCAAATTAGTAAGACTAAAGTTAATAATAAAAAATTATTTCTAACTGAACAAAAATCTTTTAGAGAAATCTGCACTTAAAATAAATTAAAACATAATTAAAATAAATTAAATAAAACATAATTATATAAAAACACTCATTAAAGTGTAAGTAGTGTTATAGCTAAAAAACTAATTGTTTTCAATAGCATTTCCTTTATTTTTATTAAAATTAATTTTGTTCTAAGGTTATTCTGACACTTTATTCTCAGAATTATACTAACAATATTAAGTTGTACTTAGATTTACATTAACTGGTTATAATACAAACATATCAAGAGTTTTTACAACCAACCCCATACTATGTGACAACCAACCCCACAGGCGGGGTTTGCTGTGTTTATTAAAATAAGTAGTAAGATTCTTTTAATGTGTTGGTTATTTGCTCAGTTATCGCAACTATGCTGCATACAGTGTTGATTTTAATGTTAAGAGATCTTTAAAGTCTGAAATATTTTTTTTTAATTTTATATGTTTTGTTTTCTGGTGGCACACTCAAAAGAACCTCCAACAGGAATACACCACTTTGATATAAGTTCACAAAACTTAGTAAACCTAATCTTGACATCAAAGGAAATTTAATGAACTCTAAATAAAATTCTTTTATATTTATATTAACTATAGAAAATTTCTTTTGAAATTGTTTTTTTTTACTGTCAATTTGGATTAAGAAATACTGTTTCTTCCCTGGAATCATTTAAAAGTATTCATCTGATTGGTAGAATTCATTAACTTGATTTTATATTTCCTCATTAATAGATCTTACTTTTTTTTAGGTGGTTTTGCTATTATAACATTATAACATTTGCTATTTATTTTTATAACATTATAACATTTGCTATTTATTTTTATAACATTATAACATTTGCTATTTATTTTTATAACATTATAACATTTGCTATTTATTTTTATAACATTATAACATTTGCTATTTATTTTTATAACATTATAACATTTGCTATTTATTTATATTTTTTAGGTGGTTTTTTTGCTATTATAACATGCATTTATTTTAAATATCTTTCAAAATTTATCTTATAATAGTTTATTATTATTTTTATTCTATAATAGTTTTGTTAGTAATAAATTTTACAACTCTCTGGAACCAAAGTTAGTAGTCTAAGTTTTTTTGATTTTGAAAAAATTTCAAACTTTCCTTTAGTTAATTCCATTAGTGAGTCCAAGTCTTATTTACTTTTGCAACAAAACTCTTGTTTAAGGTTCATTACTGACTAAATCCATAGAAACTCCTAAAACATGCTTAGTTGCTACTTTATTTTAGTTACAGTATGGATGTTATTCATCTTTCTTTTTGCATAGCTGACCCTGTCTTTATGAACTACTACTTTAGGAAGTGAACAACCACGGCTCAGGGCTCAAAAAGCAATTAGCTCAGGTGTTTAAATTTTGTTTTGCTCTTGGAGCAAAATAAAATTTAAAGGCCTCTTATATTCAAATGTCACAAAAGATGAAAGATTTTTTGAATATTATTACCATAAAAGATCCTTAATTTTTACTTTTACCTTAGAAGAGGACAATAGCTAAAAAAAAGTAAATTTTGTTTTTTAATATATTATTTATATAAGAAAATAAAATATTCTTTCAAAAAAGCTGTCTACAATATCTTCATAATTTTTAGTTTTTGCTTACATATGTTCCATTTTAGGAAGAATTAAATGATTAGGCCGGTTCTGTTTTGTTGTCAAATCCAAATAACTTTTTATTAATTTAATTTGCTAAAAATATGCAATATATATTTTCCTGTTGGCATTGAGGAAGGAAAGGTAGAGAGTATTCTAAATCAAACACATATTTGAGGAAGTATGTTCTGATATTTTAATGTTTGCTTATTTATTGAAACATCATGTTTACTTAAATTATAATTTTAATGCTAAACATTTTAATGAAACTTGTAAACATTTTAATGAAACTAGTAAACATTTTAATGAAACTAGTAAACATTTTAATGAAACTAGTAAACATTTTAATGAAACTAGTAAACATTTTAATGAAACTAGTAAACATTTTAATGAAACTAGTAAACATTTTAATGAAACTAGTAAACATTTTAATGAAACTAGTAAACATTTTAATGAAACTAGTAAACATTTTAATGAAACTAGTAAACATTTTAATGAAACTAGTAAACATTTTAATGAAACTAGTAAACATTTTAATGAAACTAGTAAACATTTTAATGAAACTAGTAAACATTTTAATGAAACTAGTAAACAAAGATGCAAGTTTTTGCTTAACTGCTATTCAAAAAATACTTTTAATTTTAAGTTTACTCAAAAAAATATTTTTCAAGATTTTTTAATTGTTTGTTTAGTTAGTTTTTACTTTACTTTTGATAATTTTACTCATATCTTAAACTCATTCATGATTAAATGTCAAATATCATAGTTTAATTATACTTAAAATTATTAAATAATGTAAAGTTATGTATTAATAATTGTAATTTAATTGAGAACAGAATTTAATCGTACAAAGTAATTTTTCAATAAAATTAACATCTTTGAATAAATTATTGTATTTCAAAAACCTACAAAATAAAAGTAAAACTTTTCTTTGCGCTTTTGAATCTCCTGATTAAGAATTTTAAACTAAAAGAAGGGAATAAAACCCTTGCACATAATAATTGTACAAAAAAAGCGTTACAGGTTATAGCTAAGAACAAATACCAGTTAATATACTTTAATAATTAAATCTTCTTTTGCTTTAATTACATCTAACAAGCATTTTGACATTGATTTAACATCTGATTTAATTGTTGTTGATGTTAGACCATGATTTTGACATTGATTTAACTAGCCGTTTGGTTTAATTATTGTTGATGTTAGACCATGATTTAAAAGTAGCTTTCTTCAAATCTTCTTATTTTGTAAATGATCTATTACCTATTTTTTAATCTAGTTAAGGCAATAAATGCTCTATTGGATTCAAATCAGGGCTCTGTGAAGGCTCTTCTAAAAGATTTATGCCGCTTTTATCAAAAAAAGTTTTTGCTTTTTTAGCAATGCGTTTTGAATTACTGTCATGTTGAAACAAAA